CACATAATTGAAGAATCATAATGTTGCAAGGACTACATGACCCCTCGTTTTTCCTAATTACGTTTCAAAAGTAAAGATCAATACATACATCTGAGATGCATGATGGGTTTTGACCTGACCTTTTGCTGCTTCATTCGCTTTAGTCGTTCCTCTATGTTTTATGGATGCCCTCTTTATATATGCTATGCAGTACTTGTTTATGCCACTGCCCTATTCACATCCTCTAATACCATTCTCGTACAGGCTGGGCCTTATTTTGAAAGTGTTCTGTACACTGTTTATACTTGTACTTCATAGATTTTTTAATTTTGGAAAAATCTTCACTGAAGTGGCTCGGAAATAAAAAATGAAGATTAAATATTGAAGATTGCTAATAAGTTGTTGGACCTGCTCAACATGTTCTCAAGGAAACATTCTTCTTTTGTAATTCTAATTTCGGTAAAATATCTTGAATTAAAATGTTCTTCTTCATACTCTCACTGAATGAAAAACAATTCAGTGGGTTTTTTGAATGTAAAATCGCTTGTGTCTCATTTTTCAGATCATAAAAATCTTATACAGCAACATTAATTTGACATCTTTGGGAGATCAGAAACTTGGTTTCATTGAGGTATACTAAACAATTTAGTATTTTTAGTATCCATAGAAAATTACTGTTTTATTCATCAAGATGGAAATTGAATACATTTGTATGCTAACGATACTCAGCTTCATTTTCCTGACGAGAAACGTGATGCCTTGGCCATTATTAATCGAGATATTGAAATATTAGTTGTTTTATGTTATTTGGCAGATTGCAAAACAATATTGAGACCGCTTTTTAAGCCAAAGTAAGAAGTAAATATACATATATCTTGTTCACCTACTGTGAGAAATTTGGAAATAGAATTTGACTCAAATCTATGATTCAAGCATCAGAAAGCTTGTGCTTCTCTGAAAGTTCGATAGAATATTGCTTTATGAAGCACTAGTACTCAGCCATTTTATTTTTTGTAATAGCGTATATGGGGGATGTTTAGACAGGATTGACAGACAGACAGATACAGAAGTCCTACTTAAGATTCATTTACAGTCTTCGCAAGATTAAAAGAGCTTCGCTTAAGTTGCTTGATGCGAACTGGTTGAATATCCAATGTCGACTAAAGTTGCTTGTAGTAAAATTTTGTTTTTTAAGGAACCACCAGATTTATTCAATAGGATAACTTTTCGCACCGATGTGCATAATTTAAATTTTCGGGGCTACATATCATCAAACCTTTAATTTTTGTAGATCTTTATCATAGAACATCTATCGGCTTTATAATCAAATACATAATGACTTGAAAATGCATCCAAACCAGTTTAAAATTGAATATAAAAAATATTTTTGAAAAACACTTCAACGCATCAAAAGTTTATTTTTTGTACTACCACTCGCATTTTGTTCTCGGCGCTCTCTAAGGAAGATCTTTTATTATAAATGTGTAACAGCTACAGGGTTTAATTTAGACCACTCATAAATACTTTCAGCTTTTTTGTAATATAGTTCATTTGTGTATTTTGCTGCAATGTACTATTTATCCACCTGTATGTTGCAAATAAACATCATCATTATTATTATACAGGGTGCCGCATCGAAAACGCATTTCTGCTCTTTCTGCTGTGGAATATATCTTGGTTAATTTATGTAATAAAGCGTTACAAGCAACAAAGTTTGGTCAAATCAATCGCAAACTATGTACTAAAATCCTATAAAATAAGTACGAGATATTTCCTTATCTTTCTTCAAGAAATAACTTTTTTGCCACAAAAAAAACGCTCCAATAGCTATTTTCAACAACAAAATGATAAACAAACCATGGGCGTAGTCAAGAAAAGCATTTACTTAATAAGTAAATTCTTTTAGTCAAATTTCTTCTGAAAGTAGTACAAACTAATCTGATGTACCTATTAAAGTCTACTTTAAGCTTTAAATCAATAAATCTTCAAAAATACTGAACTGAAGTTCATGTATTTTACATCATTATAAAGGGAATTGAAAGACCTTTAAAATAAGGTATCACTCGACCCCTTTTTCTATCTCGAAAACAAAATCGACGGGTCTGAGCGTTTTTCAAAAAAAAAACTGAGCTGCCAGTAAATGCGTCTGTTTCGTTTTCGATGTGCCACCCTGTATATACCCGAAGAAGTAATACAATTTTGTTCTAAGGAAAGCTCAAAATAGGTGTTACTTTATTGTGTCTGGTATCACTACATTTATTAGCTTAATTTGAATATAAACTACATAGTTTGGTCGGATTCTCACGCATTTCCTACATAGTGTTTTTAATTTTTTATACCCAATTTCAGGTGATTGTTAAAAAATCACAAGAAATTGAAAAATTTCAATTGCTATAGATTTCTGGCGTCCTGGAAGTATTACGATTTGAAGAATATGGACTGATGGATCATGAGTTTTTTACTTTTCGCGGTTTTCGGGGATTTTGGGAGAGATGAGGTACATTAAAAAAAAGGACAGATAACCCTAAACTCGCTGTGTCACCTGGAAGACAGATAAACAAAATATATTGTCAAAAGTGCCAGTTGTACTTAAAAAAGATCACCGTTGGAAGTGAAACGTCGTACAATAAAGAGGAACTATCAGCATGAACACGATAGAATAAGTTTCATATATTACATACATAATATATGCGCGCGAAAAAAATAACCCCTCTTCTGAGAAATTAATAAGCTAAATATTTAGCATCACAAATACTAAAAAGTAAAAAATGAATAACAGAAAAAACCAACCAACTAAACCAACTAAAGATTTAGAAATATTTTTTCCGACTTTTAAATATGCCGCCTTTAAATAAAAGCGTGTTTCAGTTATTCGTATTTCATTAATCAGTAGCAAAATGGGGGTCCGTTTTTCAGGCTGTAAATTCCATCTATACAATGTTTGTACAACGGGGTCCATTTTTGGCTAGTTAGCCTGATGATGTATCTCTATACACAACGTTACTTTGAAAGAGTATATATAATATTCTACGCATATCCCGAGGATTAAAAAAACTCATTATATTTTTCTAAAAGCATTAATAAGCAGAGCTGACAGTGATATACAGTGATGGAAACAATTATTGCATCATCTAGAGGAGTTTATCTTTAAAACATTATTTATATTCAGAACATTTTTACGAAGCATAAGCATTCTGTAGCATCGCATTAGACATATTTTCAAGATAACAGGCTGACACATAAATGGCATTTAACAATCAACCATAGCGATCCTGCTGCGTTCTTTTGGAGACGGAACATTTCACCATTCTAAACAAAAGCAGACAGTTAAGAGCGGCGTTTAGCCCATGACAGCCTCAGCTTTTCAATATTCATAAAAAACTATAGTCTTGTAACTGAAAAATTGAATGAATTTGTTGCAAAATGGTGGTCTTCTTTATGACTAAATCAACTTAAGGTGCCATTTTCAGTTACCGATACCTTTCAAAGAAGATACATTGTTCTAGAGCATATTGCCAAGCAAAAATCTCACAGCTTTCAGTTAAAAAAGAAACCGATTAATACATCAACAGGTATTTTGGTCGTTGAAATTTTATCTAAAACTATGGAGCTGCTAGATGTTCCTCTAAAAAGATTTTGATCGATAGCTCTAGTTAGATGTAAGTTAGAAAATACATTTATCTTCCTCTCCATTATTAGATTTTGGGATTCAGTAAGAAAATGTTCGAATGTCCTTCTCAAAAAGCCGTTTCGATGTTTGTTTGACATTCTATTCAAGGTTCTTCGTAGTAGATAATAGTATAAGAATCATTTGATTTCCAATATGTGTTCAAACGACTGAACAAATTTACCTTTGACGAATATCACCGCTCTTTTGTAATTAGGGGTTAAAGATATGTCTTCGCATATACATGATTCAAAAATAATGTACATTATGATGTTTTGATCAAAAGCACAAAGTTCATTAATTGATTTTTTTAATTGCCAAAGGCAATCTACGGGAATATAGATGTTCGCCTTAGAATTAGTTTTTTTGTACAAATCAGTGTCACTTTCTTAATTCTACTTGAAGATGCCGACGTAGGCATTCTAGTGCATCGTCTTCAAAGTAAACGTCATTTTTTACAACAAAAAAAAACATCTTCCAAATTATTATTTTGCTTTTATTATATTTGTACTACAGTTAAATTAAAAATAATGAATTTCAGCTTTAACTACAAAATGAAACATTTCTAGACCTATATTTATGTAAGCTTTTTTTGAATTTGAAGATTATTAAAATTGGTGCTAAAAGAGTAGAAGTACTACATGGCAAAAATATCTAGCTATGCGAATATTTTGCTCAGAATTCAGGTTCTCGAAACTAAACAATTTGGGCTGCAAAATCTGGGAGGACATTCAAAGAAACCAAACAGGGCAGGAACAAATTGAAATTGTTTACAATCGCATCACCCGTTTCGCTTAAGCTTAGAAAATAAAGTTTTAGTTTTTACGTACTTTTTCTAATGTAAAGGAATACGAAATCGAAAAAGCTTTATAGGTAGTACTGATTCTAATTGGCGCTAAAAGAGTGAAGGCAGTACTACTAAATTTTTGTTTGCCTTTCAAACATTTTTGTCCGGAGGAGACGGAACCCGGAACTGATGGCTCAGCCGTTAAAAAAAGGAATTTCTCAAATGTTTCGTGATCCTTACGTTAACGTGCATGTAGTTTGTTTCAGCCCTTTTGAATTTTTTCTATTGCAGAGGAATAAGATATCAAAAAACATTATACTTAATATGGCAAGTAGCCATTCGGTTTCGTTGTATTTTAGTAAGTTTGAAAAATTAGATATAAAAAATCGTGATTTCTCAAAATTTTCGTGTATCTCTTGCTCGTATGAAGTGAAGCTTCTGTTCAGTTCCTTCATATTGTTTTTTATTGTAGAGGAGCATGAGACCAAAGGTGCATTGTAGATAGTAGACAAGCTGTCATGCCGTTAAAATAGAAAAGGCAGTACCAGATCCAAAAATCTTATTTACCGTGTGAACATTTTGTCCGACGATGAATGGCCCCGGAACCGATGGCTTGGGCCGAAAAATCCGGGTTGTCACTAGAAGGAAACAATCAATACGATCGGACTCGGAACAAACGCACGTGCGAGTACCGGTGAGTGGGCACTGCGTGGTACCGCGGGGTACCCGTCGCCCGTGAAGATGGTAGAGAACTGAGGCTGGTATAGCGCCCTTCCTCTGTCTGAGCCGAGCCCCCTTCTATATCCAAGTATGGTACCATTGGTACCATAGGTAGAGTACTACTCGGTACTCGCGTCTACAACTAATAAATGCACGTGAAGCGTTAACAATAATTATACTAGCCGACTAGCCGTGAGATGAAGATGAGAGGTTCATTATTAATGGTACCTTTTAATGGTACCTTGCTAATGGTTTGTGTTTACATACGGAAATGCTCGACGGATTTTAAGAACTTTTTGTCAGAGAAAGCTCAAGCTCATTATCCGACGAAGCTTGATGGACAAGTGTTAGCTTTTTTGACTCAGCAGTTGAAGACTTTTAAAAATTTAAATTTGATGATGAGCTTTTTGTACTTGTAAACTCAGCCCCTCACTGCACATTTTCATTACATCAAGATTTTGAGTTTGAATGTACTATTTTGTCTGTTTTGGTCGTTGTACATCCGGGAACAATGATAATAGCTAAAGTAGGAATTTGTATGTAATCTGAGTCATTATGCGACGGACATCGCGCGGCAGTGAAGCAATCGCATTGGTATAGACTACATTGTAGCAGAATTGTCAGTTTTTTGCGACTATCGCTTGTTATTTGTTAATACAATACCCTGAAGCCAGGCTTAACCTATAATCAATGAGTACTTATTAGATATGTTTCCATAGGTACTGTTCTAGTTATAAAATATATGAAGGAATACAAGATTATGCTATACAGTGTGTCTGCGAAAGGCTGGCAAATCTCGAAACTGGAGATACTACATATGTATAAATATGTGAATTGATCCAAACATACCTTAGTCCAAAAGTTGAGAGTTGGCGAGATACAGGCCATCAAAGTTACAATTTTATTTTCTATTTTTCCTTGTTGCTTGAGAAGTAGTCCAGATTTTGGCATAAAGCTCGGTATAGGGAGGTTTTCTAGTATAAGAAGCAAGAATCCTTTATTTTTGATGGGCTCTAGAAGGCGCCAGAGCACTATTTCGGTAAATAACTTATCATAACTTTTTTTTGCTACCCTGTATACAGCAACTGACTAAAAAATCTTATTATCTCGTATTTCCATAACAAAAAAGGTTTACTTGTTAGAAGCGTTTAAAGCTAATAGCTTTCGAGATATTTGTTTTTAAAAGTAACCAATGCATTATTTGTGCCATGACGATATCATATTTTTATAACATAATAATCAAGTTGCTTTGGATAATATCTGAGGAGCGTTGCTATGGTTTTTAACAATAACAAATGAGGATGGCAACAAAGCTGATAAACAGAAATAAGAACTACAAAAAATGTTCAAAATGAGCACCACCTGGCCTAACACCGTGAATCCGACGATGTTTTCGGGTTGTACAGATGGATTCTTTGAATGGTGTCGTACTATTTCGGAAACGGGAAATTCTCAGCTTTTTAACGGTGTATCGCAGCTGAGCTGACAAACCTTGCAACGGTCAAAAACAGACATTCACGCATATTATGAGCCTACTGTTGTTTTCCATTAATTCCTGATTAATTAATAAGGGTACACCGATATTTCAAAGGGAGATATATGTACGAGCCCCTTCCCACTTATGTTGGTCCACTTCAAGATTTGTACCAAAATATGCCTTTATAAACTAAACATGACGAAACTATTTACTTCTAAAACAATTTATTTTCTCAAAAACATTTTAGATACACTCTAGTCGCAAAAAATACATATTTGAAATCACTTAGACCTATAACTAATAGAACATCTGAACAAATGTGCGAATAAATGCGCGAAGTTAACAAAGCAACAATTGAAAGATTACCATTGGGTAACATCACCTTAATTTTTTATTACGGCTGAAATTCTTTGAGGTATAGTGTTAACCAATTTTTGGCAAAAATTTCGTGTAAAACAATCCCATATTTCTTGAAGCTTTTGTCTCAGCCCGGTGATTGTACGAGCAGGATGTTGTCGTAGAACCTTTTTCATCTCGTGCCACAAAGTTTCAATAGGTGACAGATTTGGACTGCTAGAAACCCATTTCAAAAGTGGTACATTATTTTCTTCTATCCATTTTATAGCCTTTTTTGAGGTATGGCATGCTGCACCATCTTGCTGAAACACAAAATCTTGGCCGGATGTCAAATATTCTTCCATCACTGGTAAAAGCGATTCTTCTAAAATTGTTAAATATTTGTTTGTATCCACATTTCCATCAATAAAATGAAGTTTTCCTACTCCTTTTGATGACCTACTGCCCCAGACCATAATGGATGCTGGAAATTTACAAAGTTGCAATTTCTGAGTTTGATTCCCCAGAATTAAAAAATTTAATTATCGGTAACCCAATTTTCACTAATAACATTTCCTCTACCCATTTTGAAAACCTTAACTACCCAAAACTATTTTAAACGTATTCTGACAGCTGTGATTAATAAAAACAATTGTCATGGCTTTTATTTTTCACAGCCACCTATGCGTTATAAACTTATTTTGCATTGAAATGAAAATAGGTTGATATGCTGTAATTGCAACATGTGTTATTTTTATGCTGCAAATTTGATTAGGGTGTGATAAAGTTGGTGTTTTCTACTATATATTATCAAAATATTCATTGTTAATATTTTAAACCTATAACACCCTGATACATTTTTATTATTTGTGTTTGATAAGAAAAAAAATAAGATTTCAATAGTTGGGCCAACTGAAGTGGGAAGCGGCTCGTACGTATTTTGGTGTTATCGGTCATTCTTTTTAGTCTGCACAAAATCGGGTGTATTGGCCGTAACATGTAATAATAGAGGTGGGGAGGTCTAAGCGAGGCAGGTACCTTTGGCCGGTCACGTCTATTTAAGTCATATACATCTCTAGCATAAAACCATGTTCAAAAAACAATGTCAACCAGTTGTATTTGGACAACGGCAGATAGGGCGCTCCTCCACAAGAAATAAAAAAAAACAATTTTTTTCCATCCTATGATTAGGCGCAAAACTTACATGAGTGGCTCTACCAATTTACGTATATCTATAAAGCCTTCATTTTTCATTCACCAGCTGTGGAAATCCTTCAAAGCTGGAGAAAAATGTTTCAGGCTTCTAATCTGTTGTTTCATCTAAAATGTTCCTACAGTGAGAGTCGCATCTTAATCTGATTTGTGTTCGAGGCATTAATTTTGTTGTTGCAAATCACAAAAATAGCGATGCGTGTAAATGTTTCGTTAAAAATTCCAATCTGAATACTGACAAACTTTGAGCTTTGATAACTTTATGATAATTGTTGTTTTCGTACTGATATTCTTGTCACTGTCAACAAAAAATAACAGAACAAGTTTTTTTGTTTTTTCATATATCGAAACAGCCGCGCAGGCAGAAGCCTAAATGCCGGAACACCGCGGCTGCTATGATGATCCCAAAGAAATTTTGGTAATACGTTTTTTGAACTGCCTAAGATTAGTAGAACTGGAAAAAGCTTCCTCCCGTAGCTTGTTCCACAATCTAGACACCCTCGGGACAAAGGACCGGTCGTATCGGCCAGCTCTGGATGTACGAAGTTTAACACGGTTAGGATGGGACGCCGAAGTCAGGCGGGTCTGTCTGGCAGGCACATCGCGCGGCGGCATCATGGAAGAGAGCTCTGAGGAGCAAAGCCCGTTGGTGTAGCGATAGAAAAGAGCTAGATCGCCGACGACCCGCCGGTGCGAAAGAGTCCCGAGACTGTCTGTTAGAGAAGAGTCATCGATCAGTCGGACCGCCCTCCTCTGGACAGCATCGAGCATGGACAATGTAGTCGGGGCGGCAGCACCCCAAATGTGTGAGCAATACTCGAGGCTAGGCCTTATCTGGGCCTTGTATAGAGTGAGAAGGTCATGCGGAAAAAATAACTTCTTAGCCCTAAACAAATAGCCTAGCTTTTTCCCAGCAGCTGCAGCTATTGAAGAGATGTGTTCGTGCCAGATCAGATCCTCGGTGATCTGGACTCCGACCAGCCGAAATGAATGGCTCTTTGGTAGCACTCGGCCGTCCATCGAAACTGTATGAGCGCTAGGGCGCTTTTTGTTCGTCAAAGTACAGTACTGTGTTTTGGAAGCATTGAACTGCACAAGATTGTTGCGTCCCCAAGCAGTGATAGCCTCCAGGTCTCTTGTCAGAGAAGAAGTCGTCGCTAGTCTTCTTTCTTCCAGCTCAGCGGCAGAGATCGGCTTGTCACTCTGAATTCCTGCATGTAGAGTGCTGTCATCAGCGGAGCTGTGGATTGGGTTGATCGTGCAGGAAAGGAGGTCGTTGATATGTAAGAGAAACAGTGTTGGAGCCAAGACCGATCCCTGGGAACACCCGCGTTGACGTTGTGGGATGAAGAGGAGAATCCGTCAATTACGACGAATATCTTGCGGCCAGAGATAAAGTCAGCCACCCATCTGCAAAGCTTTTCTGGGAGGCCATAGGATGGAAGTTTGCTTAAGAGGGCAGCGTGCCACAGCTGATCGAACGCTTTCGTGATGTCAAGAGCAACGACATGAGCCTCACCATGAGACTGGATGAGTTTACTCCACAGTTGCGTGACGTAAGCTAGGAGGTCCCCTGTGGATCGTTGGTGCCAGAAACCGTACTGCCTGTCGCTAATCAAGCTGTGACGTTCGAGGTAGTCCAGAAGCTCGCGATTTATGCACCTCTCCATCACTTTACCTATAACAGAAACTTTTTTCAATGTTTGCTAATGTTTGCGCAGTTAGTGTTGCTTTCTACTGTATAGCTACTATTGCGTCAACTTTAGTTGCTAAGACAGTTTCCACTTGTTGAATCGATAAAGAACCCAAAAGTCTTATCTATACACATTTGTGCTTATTAATGCTTCATTCCATAATTAGTAATTGCATTATGACTCAGTGTGAATAATGCTGAATGCCGACGTCTTTGAAGAATGCACGTTCATTTTTGAAAAACAAAGCACCATATCTGCATATCCAGGGACGGACTTGAGAATGTTAAAGTGCATGGAGGTTTTGAACTTGAATTAGCTGGAATATTTCTAGCTCGAAAATGATAAATA